GTACCTAATGAGTTGTACCAGTCCTGACATAATGCAATAAGCAAGTTTAGCACGTATACAAGTAATCCTAGTCGCAAGCACTGGAAAGCCATTGTTTGCATACTTAGGTACTTACTATACACTCGAGATTACGAACTGCACTATAGCAGACATCCAGATGTAGTAGAAGGCTACTCAGGCGCAAATTGGATATCTGATACTCTTAATTCAAGATCAACTAATGGATATGTGTTTACACTTGGTGCAACAATCTCTTGGAAATCCTCGAAACAAATAATTATTGTTAAATCCACAATAGAATTTGAGTTTATTATGTTAGATAAAGTTGGAGAAGAGGCGGAATGGATACACCACTTCATCCAGATATTCTAAATTTGGATAAACACGTATCTTCTATTACCCTCTAATGTAATAGTAAATCTACTATTGGTAGAGCAGAAAGTACAATGTATAATGGTAAGAGTCGACATATTCGTCGTCGACACAATTCCATAAGACAAATGATCAAGACTAAGGTTCTTGTCATAGACCATGTTGCGTTAAAGGATAACCTAGCGAATCTGCTAACCAAAGGGTTAAACCCTGATACAGTTTATAAACTGACAAGAGGAATGAGAATTAAGTCTGCTGAAAAATAAGTTTTATAAAGGAAAATCCAAACCTAGAAAGACTGAAGATCTCAATAACTAGGTTCAATAGAACAACCTGACTATAAGACTTATGTGTGTCCCTGTGGGGGCTAACAACCTCTATTCATTCATGTCAACAAACGGTGACAGAGTAAGGAGAATACCAAATAATTGCTTTAATGATCTTTAAGTAAGTATTGTATCACTCATAAACTTAGAAAAATTATCTATGTGAGAGAGAAATTGGGCCGCTTCAAAGGACAACTGTTTAGGCACAGTTCTTTAGAAACTCTTGCAAAACCATGACAGACTCCATAGCCAAAACAAACCAAACTATGAGAACCGAACAAAGAACAAGGATTATGTGTTGGCATGTAATTCATTTACTAAGAAACTAAATAGTCCAAAGACAAAGCGTCCACTGGATAGTTGGTAAATATTGCATATTGTTCAAAGGAAAATTCAAAAACATACATATTTATCCTATGCAGAATTCTCTCTTCTTTCATCAAGTCTTCGTTTTTTCCTCTTTCATGTGAGGATTTCTTGGTTTGTATTTCAAAAGATGAAAGAAGATAAAGTACCAAGTATCCCACATTGGAAACTTAATACATTTTACTCAACTTTATATAGATTATGTGGTCCTTCCATATTAAATGAAAAATTGGACTTAGGCTTGCATGGCTTGGATATGCATGCTTGGGCTTGGATGTTTGATATATATATATATATATCAAAGATGGGCTTGGCCCTTGGGCTCGTGGGCTCAGCCTAATAACGAAAGAAGGAAAAAAGAAATCATTTTGACCTAATTTTGATAATTGACGTATTAAAATCAATTATCAAATAAAATAAATACGTTGCAACTAACTTCAACACATTGGCAAGGTCGTGTAGGAGTCGTCATATCCAACCTAGAAAAATCTCAACAAGGAGTGAAGACGTGGACGGGCCCGAAGAGGATGTTCCGAGAGTTTAAAGAAGATGACGTGAGACTCATAAAAAACGGAGTCAACAAGGTGACGGAAGAGATCGTAGCGGACAAGAACGGACACATAAGTGTGGAAGGTGGGAGTAGATTAAGTGGGAGAGACACCTCAATAGATTAAAATATAAAATAAAATCCTAATTGTTTTTTTTTTTCTAAAAATATATATCTCAATTAGCTTTCAAAAGGAGATACAGGAACTCTACAATTTTTTTTTTGGTAAAATTGCTTATAACTCTCCTATGGTTTTGAAATTCAGCGTGAAATCTCCCTATATTTTAAAAATTGCATGGTACCCCCTTATACTTTAAAAAACGTTGCATGAAACCCCACCACCATGAAACTTTCCTCGTGTGATAAGAAAATGATTTTCTATCTATATATTTTGCATGGCAGAGGGGTTTTATGCAATATTTTTGAAAGTATAAGTGAGCGTCATGCAATTTTTTAAAGTAAAATGAGGATTTATGCTAAGTTTTGAAACCATAAAGTGGTTTCATGCAACATTTTTTTAAAGTATAAGGGGGCGTTATGCAATTTTTAAAGTAGAGGGAGAATTTACGCTGAGTTTCGAAATCACGAGGGAGTTATGGACAATTTTGTTTTGTTTTTTTTTTTTTTTTTTTTTCATTTGCAAGTTCTTCCAAAAATCAAATTTTTTTTCTCTGCAATCAAAATATCCCCTGAAAACTTTACTGGGAGGCAATCGGTGGTAGCTCTAAAATCGCTTCAAGGAAATCGCTTCGTTCGCAAAATAAAAGTTAGTTAAAATCTGAATTTTGATTTGTTGACTAAAATTTCGTCATATTACCAGTTTTAAATCTAGAATAACTTAACTATGTCAAACCAACTGCATTCCTTCACTTATCCAAAATAAAAGACTTTCACAAACCAAACAAAAACTAAATATGCAATAAAGAACTAATTGCATCCCAATTGAAAAAGATCTACATAACATAACCAAACATTTGTTTTTACAAAAATAAAACAATTTTATTATAATATTCGAGCTCGATTGTAGCTTACTTCAAAACAATTGAAGCTATCAAACAATACCTTATTAGACAATTAGTCAAATAGAATCAATTCAATGTATCATCACCTCACAAATCATGTTTACCAATTATCTAAAATTTTATTTTCTAATCAATAGTGGATTCACACAAATGTATTATTAATATATGCTGCACAATTAAAATGATAACAAGCTACAGTACAACTAATGTACACGTATATATTGTGTAGTTAGTGTTGTGGATGCAACTTGGCCTATTTCGGTGCCACAATTTGTACTCTCAAATGCCTATAAATATAGACTATAATTTACAGTAAACAACAGTCAATTCATTCATATACTTCATCCCCTCTCTATCTCATTTTTCTCTCTCTTATATACATCAATATATTAGTATATATATTTATATACATATTATGACATACATACTTACATACATAAATACATAACATTACGCCAAGCACACACATACACATATATATATATATTATACTTACCAATATTATATTATTATTATATAAAACAAGCTACAAATTAATAATCAATATTAATCTAGGCGCAAAACTTTTCACAATAAATCAAGGCAAAACAACAAAAAACTCTCCCGTGATTTACCAAATCTGCTGAAAATCCTCCGTAGTTCTAAAACTCCAAAAAACCTACTCGTGGTTTATAAAATGTTGTATATCACACGCCTAAAATGCGATTTTTATCCATAAAGTGATATATTTCTGTATAAAATTACTAAAATACCCTTATTGACTACTTTTTACAACTTCTTCCTCGTTCTTCTTCTTCCTTATTTTTCTTCTTTCTTCTTCTTCCTCATTCATTTTTTTTTTATTTTAAATTCGCTAAACACAACATAAATTTTACCAAATTTATCACAATTAATTGACCGGACATGGAGATGAAGATGAGAATGCGTAAGTTATTATTCACCGTCGATTTCTTCTTCTGTTTTACCAAACCCAGAAATACTTATTCTTCTGTTTTTATCAAATCCAGAAATCTAAAAATTCAATTTGACATCAAGATTTGAAATCAATTTAAGAAGAAAGAAAGAACTTGCTGCTGGTTGCAACCATGTACGAAAATAAAGAAGAAAGAAAATTGGGGAAAAAGAGATAGAAAAAGAAAAATAAAATTGAAGAAAAAAAAAACATTGATGTCCAACCCCTTCTTTCTACTCTTCTTCTTTCCCTTCTCTTCTTTATTCTCTTTCTTTTCTTCCTTTCTTCTTCCCTGTTCCGGCCATTTCTGTTCGTCATCGTCTTTCTCTTCTTATTCTTTTGTAATTCTTCATTCTTAAAAAACAATTAGAGATGAAGAAGAAGAAAAAAAAATTAGGGGAAAAAGAAGAAAAAAAAAAACGGTTAAAACGGTTGGAACTGTTATGGCCTGGAAAAGAATTGGAGAAGAAGAAGAGAAAAATTTAGGAAAAAGAAGAAAAGAAAGAAGTGGGTAGAACTGCTATGACCTGAAAAAGAATTAGAGAAGAAGAAGAGAAAAGTTGAAAAAAAAAATGTGTGAAAGAAGAATTTGGGGAAGAAAAGAAAATAGAAGAAAGAAGTTGTGGACAAGAAGAAAGAACATAAGAGAGAGAAACCACAGGGCATAACGGTTTGATAAAGCTAAAATTTAACGACGCCAGTGTGATTTAAAAGAGGGGCGAGTATGCAACATTTTACAAACCACAAGTAAATTTTTTGAAATTTTAGGACTACAGGGGATTTTCAGTATATTTGGTAAACCACGGGTTCTTTTTTTTTTTTTTTTTTTCTGTTTTGCCATAAATCAATTATATACTTTAGAAATCTTTTCCTTTAACATTATATTATTTCCAAAACAAAAAAAAAAAAAACAACTAATTCATTCACCATTTGATAGGAAAGATTTTAAAAGAAAAAAAAAAAAAAAAAAAAAAAAACAAGGAAATTGTTTGGACACTCCACAATACCTTGAAAATGCTAGAAACAAACTTTTCAAAATGCTAGAACATTGAGATTTCTTGTTTTTGTTGGGTGGAAACCCCAAGTCCCATCTATCGCCTTGGAAGTACATATAAACTCCAATATTATGAAATCATTTTAAAGAAATTGAAAAACAAATTCGTGCAAATTGAGCCCAAAACAGACAATATTGAGTTGACTCAATCCCATAAGTTGTGTATTCATCGGAGATAAGAAAATGCAGGCACCGAGCATAAATCATTTTTATGGAGGGATTTAAAATCATTTGCCGAAAAAATAAACATTCAATTTAATTTTTTGAAGAAAAAAATAAATAAAATTGATTGAACAGTAAAAATCTTTTAGAATGCCTCAAATAAACACAGCAGCAAAGTAGAATGAAATGCAGCTACTGCTTAAAGAGAAACCTTCCCCCAAGTATTACTTACTGCATATTTCATTACTACTACTACTACTACTACAAATGTAACCAAATTCTTGATCCCATTGCGTGAATCCAATCCAGTCCAGAAGATCCAACCTAACTAATATTATATTAATTCATTCAAGACAAATGACATCACTTGACTTACATGGAAAATTACCTGAGAGCTGCACACTGCACTTCATCTTGGGGCTAATTCCACCCGGGAGTTCCGGCGTCGTCCGGGCCGGGACAGCTTGGGGTACCAGCATCATTGGGTGTAGGGGCCCAGTCGCTTTGCCACCCGGGTTTTGCAGAATCACCGGGAGTGGGAGTGGGAGTAGGGGCGGAATCGCTTTGCCACCCGGATTTTGCGCCATCATTGGGAGTAGGGGCGGAGTCGCTTTGCCACCCGGATTTTGCGCCATCATTGGGAGTAGGGGCGGAGTCGCTTTGCCACCCGGGTTTTGCAGCATCATTTTGGGATGGGTCGCGAGTCCAGCCCTGGCGAGGTTGTGGCCTTCGGAAATATTTGGAGATGAATGTTTCGGCCTTGTCGGGGAATTTTTCACGGATTAGATTTTCCAGGCATTTACGGTAGGAGAAATCGTTCTTGGTGTCATCCACGGTGACAACGTAGAAGCACCTACTATCTTGGAAGAGCTCGTGCTTAGTAACCTGTGGACAAAAAGAAAAGGATTGCATTGGGTGTCAGGGCTAAAACCTTTCTCTGAAAGCATAGTCTCCGCCGTGTATACATATATTTTCAAATCACTTTCGACACTATTCATTTCTCTAACAAAATATGGAATCAAATACCTACTTTTTACTATTCTAGACATTTTCCAAAGCCCCAAAACTTACAAGACTCTTATCTAAACAAAACCAAGTTGTGTTCTTTTGTGCGTTTTACTACAGGTTTTTACTATCCAAATTCCTTTTTCCCTTAAAAAATGTTACATCAAACAATTACTATTCTTTTTTTATACTATACTACAAATTTATGTTACATTCAAAAATCATATCAACCTCTATTTATATCACATTGAACAACTATTCAAATTCAACTTTTTACTATTCAAAAATCCAAACCCAAAAACTAAAACACACAAACAAACACACCCTAAATGTCATATAAAATATTCCATCAACTTATTTTCTATACCAAAGCCTATTTTGAAATGTTGGTTTAGAAACACCCACCATCAATGTGATGTTTTATTTAATAAGACTTACAACAACCTACCTATAACAGGAAGTCAAAAGCATGTGGATTTATAAGGATGAAGCAAGAATTGTTGGTTTGAAAGCTATAGTAGAGTGGTTTCTCCAATGCCAGATTATCACATTGGTAGAGAGAGAGAAAGAAAGAGATGTATATACTTACCATAATGTGCTTGATTCCTGCTCCGATCTTCACAGCCTTGTCCGAGTGATAGTTCAACACATTCTCAATTATGTAATTCTGATCATCAGCTGACAAGGGATCGCCATCACTGTATAATATTCACACAAAAACCAAATAAGTCACTGCCCCACCAGAAATGAAAGCCAACAAGCACCAGCATAGAAATGCCTTTAATATTTCATTGCCAGCAAGATTATAAGTATTAGAAAGTTGTGATATCATACCAATGCACCGTTAAAAAATTACGGGCATCGGTAGGAACTTCTAAATGCACATAAATTGCTACAAATTTACTTAAAGCAGACATGATAACAACATGACAAGCAGTATTACCCTATCCATGATTGATAAGATGATTAATTTTCGATTATCTACTTGTAACTTGTACACTCACTAAACTAGATATAGCTGTCTAAGATGAAATATTTCAGAGACAGAGAAAATAACTAACCCCGACTGATTCATTATTCTTCTTATTGTTTTCATTATGGATTCAGTTTCAGAAAGAACATCTTGTTCCTCCGCTGTGAATGAATCCAGGCGCTTCTTTGTTGCTGAGAAAAGTCCTGCGGCACTGGGATCATCTGTAGGACGGGGTCTCCAAGGTTTCCTTTCTCCATCACCCCTCCCTTGAGAACCATCTCTAGAGCGTCCACCACCACCACGCCCCCATCCTCGACCTCGACCCCTACCCCTACCACGACCCCACTGAGGACGTGAATCATTATCACCTTGATTATCATCAGATTGTTTCTGACTAGAACCCCAACCATCAGATGAAAACTCTTTATTATTTTTCCCAGGGGAAGACTGCGAATCAAATTTACTCCAGTCATTAGACGAGCCCCCCCAAGTATTAGAAGGTGTTGCTTGAGTCGTCAGTTTGGAGTCCCAAGGATTGTCTGAAGCATCCAGACTGTTCTGAGTTCCAGTAGCTGACCATGGATCACCATCTTGAGTTTTTGCAGCAGACGCATCTTTTCGAGTGCTCTGCTGCTCAGGTTTCTTTCCCCAATCACTATCGTTTTTAGGCCCCCAAGTGCTTGACGCAGACTTGTTACCCCAAGCAGCATCAGCAGCAGAGTCGGCCTTTTTCATCCAACTGTTGTTTTCCTGAGAAGTAGCATTCTTACCCCATCCACTATCATCCCCATGATCAGACTCAGCCATTTTACCCCATTCGGGTCCTCCTCCCCCTCCCTCAGAACTAACCTTTTTCCCCCAGGCATCTTCCTTGGAAGCATTTCCCTCCCATTTTTTCTTTTTATCCCAAGTGTTTTCATCACTGCTTTTTGTTTCCTCAGAAACAGCATTTTTAACCCCCCATTCATTTTCCTTTGACTTGCTCTTTTCACCCCAACTACTACTTTCCTTCGAAATTGAATTGCCTTTCTTGCCCCAAGTATCCTCATCACCCCAATTATTTTTCTCAGAACTGCCTTTCTTACCCCAACTACTCTCTCCACCCGTTTTCGTCCAATCATTTTCCTCGGAAGTGACTTTCTTACCCCAGCTACTCTCTTCACCCTTTTTCCCCCAATCACTTTTCTCAGAACCGACTTTCTTACCCCAACTACTCTCTTCACCCTTTTTCCCCCGTTCACTTTCCTCAGAATTGACTTTCTTCCCCCAAGTACTCTCTTCATCCTTTTTCCCCCAATCACTTCCCTCAGAATTAACTTTCTTACCCCAAGTACTCTCTTCAGCCTTTTTCCCCCAATCACTTCCCTCAGAATTGACTTTCTTACCCCAATCACTTCCCTCGGAATTGACTTTCTTACCCCAATCACTTCCCTCGGAATTGACTTTCTTGCCCCAAGTACTCTCTTCAGCCTTTTTTCCCCAATCACTTCCCTCAGAATTGACTTTCTTACCCCAATCACTTTCCTCAGAGTTGACTTTCTTACCCCAAGTATTATCTTCAGCCTTTTTCCCCCAGTCACCTTCCTCAGAATTTACTTTCTTATCCCAAGTATTCTCTTCACTCTTTTTCCCCCAATCACTTCCCTCAGCCTTTTTCCCCCAATCACTTTCTTCGAAATTGGCTTTTTTATCCCAAGCGCTTTGCTCCTGCTTATTTATCCAATCATCGACTTGGGAATCATCCTTTTTACCCCAAGAAGACCAACCAGCATCCTATGCACAAAAATAATGCAAAATTAACAAAAAAGAAAATAATGATACAACCATTGTCCATAACTGGGTAAAATTACAAGCTGCAAAATATAAAGCATGAGCAAATCACTTCAAAAATGTCACAGCAACATCAAATACTAAGAAATTCTTGGATGAGAAGTGTTGGAGCATCAGGCCAATTAATGTCGTTCACTCTTGCAGTTCTTTTCATGCAAAAGACTAAAAATGACAATGAAAAATTCAATCTCAATACTTGGGAGGATTTTTCAATAAAAGTAGCTGCAAAAAAACTGCATACGATTACTTATATTCAAAGTGACTGATGGAAGAATGAACAAAAAAAGACAGAGATCTGCTAAAATGTTGGATATGAGGAATGACTCTCATCCTGATCATAAACATAAAACTTGACAAAAAAAAATATATGTTACCTCTTTGGATAAACCATTAGTATCCCATCCATCAATGACCCCAATTTCAGGTCCATCTTCAAAAGTTGGTTTATCTTGGCCAGGTTCTCTCTCTGGCGACAAGCCAAATTCCATAAATTCATCTGCTTGGTCCAAATCTTCAATTTCTGCACCCAAGCAACCAGTGTCTCCTTCCAGGTTTAATCCACAGCTCATATCTCGAAGGAAATCATAGACATCAATTTCCTTCTCAGAGTTCAACTCCGCCTAAGGTATTATAAGAAGGTATCCAAATTAATGTGTAATAATCAAATGTTCCACAAAGATTTCAAGCAACAAATACCTTTTTGGTGTCCCAAAGAATCTCAAATGGAGATCCAGTACCTACGGAAACATGCTTTCCCCAGGCACAAGACGCCACAATACTCGATAAATTGTCAACATGGCATTTTTCAGCAGCTCTCTCAAAGCACTTTCTAGGGGTCTTTAAGAAAAGAAAAACAAAAGGTAAGATTGAAATGCAATACATTCTATCAGGTAATAGAGTGGATGCAACTACTTACAGACAGAGTTGCACTCATGAACGGCACTTGAACATCAAGAGATTTTGACAAGTGCTTGATGCCACCAGCATTAAATCCAATCAATGTTCCCGTGCAAGTCATGTTATTACCCAATAGCAGGAGGTGGTCCTTTAGAACACCTTTTGTTACCATTGTCACCGAAGTTGTCAAACGCTGCAGCAGTTTGAAATGTTAGTATCTTGTCCCCTCAAAAAAATAACCTTTAAATAAGGTGACTACTGACTAGCAATAATTAATATTGCATGCATCAAGTAGCTGAAGCTAAGAACCTCTGCAGGTATATACTAGGAAAATTGACAATTACACAAACAACATTCAAAGTTAAAATCAATTACAGGAAGAATGGCCTTTCCCACACCAATATATGGAATAAAAACAAAACAGAATGATCATTGCCATCCTTATTATCCGAGTGCAATTTTAAAATGTATCAATATCAGAAAATCAGAATATAGATATGCAACTGTCACTCCTACGATTGTAGCCTTCAAAAATCTCTTCTAATCATATGGCAACACAAGACACAGTTTGATAGACTAATTATCTCTATAACAAGAACAAACCCATAAGGCACCATTCACAGTGCAATAAGCACGAAACTCATGTAGAAGAGAAAATTTTAAAACAATTAAATCAGTCAACATGGTCAACGTATCCTGTTAATTTCAGGTTCTAAGTCCATACTTTTAGCACACAACACCAGCATAGAAAAAGAATGCATTTCTGTTAAACTATAAGTCAATGTGTAAATCGATAAATACATAGACCTTTAGGCAGAGAAAAGGAGATTGGCCTCAACAAGTAGCCACTTCAAATAAATAGGAAGAACAAAACAAATATAGAGCACCAGAAAGCAGCAGCAAATATTCATAATTATAAAAAATTTAATACCTGAACAGCCTGCTCAAATGTGCAAGAGATACCCAGCAGTTCTTGTATTTCTTTTATACCATATGGGACCGAACGTTGAGTATCTATCAAGTGGATGACTGGAATGCAGGAATCCATCACTATTCTCCATGCATCCCCACTCTTCTTCACAGCTTCTTTCTCAAGGATAACATCCAGTACCCACTCACCTTTTGAGCTCGTGTATGGGCTCCTGATCCAGTTCTCCGTCTGGGGACTTACCCAAACTTTATTTGCACTAGAAACTCTAGGATCACCTATACATCACAAGATAACATATAGCCTTCTCAGAATAGAGAATCCACGGTAGCACCTTAATTATCCAGTACTTACTCCACAATCCACAACAATAGAAGCATTATGATAATATTTTGTATACTGTAAATCCCAGGCTATAGGGATTATGAGACCTTGGTGTGTTTGAAGCATTTCTTATAACTGGTATATAGATTCCTCTACTTCGAAATACCTGTATTTCTGAAGTGGCAGTAAGCATTTTCTGATGATAAGTTTTATAAGTTGCATAGACCAGTTTCAGACAAAAGACCTTGGTATACAGGCATCTCAAAGTACTCGTAAAACACATTTGTTTGCAGTTGAAAATGCTGGCTACCACTCTGTCCTTGAAAAAATACAACTTAACCTAATTTCCAAAGGGTTTCGTCAAAAAACTAAAATCAGTGACAGGTTGCCTACTTGTGTTACATTTGGCATGCTTAATATCTATGACCCAGCCTGAGAGGAAGTGATAGTGTTAGAAATATTGTATAGAGATTTTTCGTATTTTAAAGTGTAGTGTAGGGGCATTTTAGATATTTATTGTATATTATGCAGGGTTTTGTGTAAAAAAATTTTTGTGTGAATAGATTCAACTTTGTTCATGGTATTTCAGGTATTTATTGTATATTATGTAAGGTTTTGTGTAATCAAAAATTTTGTGCGAATAGATTCAACTTTTACAGATATGATACAATATTTTATTATTAACGTGAATCCCTGAGTTAGGTATTAGATATCAAAATTACAGGGTTTAGCTTACCCTATTTGCTCTCTAGAATTTTGATTAAGTAACAAGATGTAGAATGGAAAAAGAAAGCAAAGACTAATAAAGCAACACTATTTGGGAGTAAAAATTTAATTATAAAAAATTGGAGTGAGAAAAGGTTAATACTATTGTCAAGCTATAATTCAAGCAGGAAACAATGTCTACCTTTAGGTTTTTTTCAGGTCTTTCGTCTAAGTAGCTAAAAAAATTTCTTCATATCAATAAAATTATTTGATTCTCCAAAAATAAAATATATGTTTACCTTTAATGACTGTCTGGAATATCACTGGAGAAACTGTATCAACTAGCTGGGAAGCCCTCTTTGAAAGATCATCAATTGCCCCTTGCCAAAAAAACTGGATGCATGGAGTATCGGGCCCTTCACTTTTCGAGGATAGACAAAAAGAACAGTCGCTGCAAGAATATGGAAAAGAACATAAATATATTTCACAAAATGATATTATTCAACATGAACATTATGCAAACAACTTTATAATACTAATGCATTTACAAATAAATTGAAGTGTCTAGTCTAGAACTTTATCACTTCAATGATTACACCATGTGGTCAAAAACAATTATAATGTAGCATACAGCATGTATATCACAACAATGACAAAAGCCACCAAACATTCAACTTGATGTTAAGCAATTCAAGAAAGCCCCAATCCTTAATATGCATGCAAGCATAACATTACCAGGCCACTGTATGTGACAACACATGTATCATAAATAGAGAAATACTACAAGCTTATAATCTTCTTACAGATATGGCACAACAATACCAATGGATAAAGTTCTGATTTAGACAAGCCCCTTCCTAGAATCATTAAGTAGGAAAAAGCAGCATCACTAAATTATATAAGTGACAGAATTAACGTTCATCTTGAACATCAAACCTAACCTGGACGATAAAAATATTCCCTTAAAGATCCCATCTTTTTTCTTCTTCTTTTGATGAAGACTGAGTTTCTCTTCACATTTTCCCAGAATGACATCCATGCTAATATTTAATTGTTGAAGTTGTCTCTGTACAACCAGACAACATTAGAATGAAAAATCAGTACAAAAGTTCTGAAACAAGCTAGGGTCAAATTTAAAAGTTCTCAAGAAAATACAACCACCTTATTTAGATGAATATGACCAACAAGACCAGGATTGGCGTCAAAACTATCAGGCGACCTGTACCTGCACAAAGTGAGAATAATGAGTTTTATGCCATTTGCATATTCTATAGTCTCTAGGAACACAATTATATTGCCTAGAATCGGCATTCAAACAATTTAACTTGACATTGACAAGGAATCGTGCAATGAATGAAGCAAAAATTAAATTTGCTGATAAAAGGTTGTCCATACATAGATAGGTTGATATAAACTCCCTTCATCAAGGTCCTTATGAACCAAAAAGACCCAATCGACCAACATTCAAGTCCTCAATCACCATTCATCCTTTCAATTTCAACCCCCCCCCCCCCCTTCTTTACTTGTGTGGGGCACAAAGAAAGAACTAATAATTTCAATTTTGGTGAGGATAATTTTATAAAATGTGTGGAAACAAGGATATCAACAAACAATGTCTATGGAATCAAGCAGTCAATTAAAAGCATACTACTTACAATATATTTCTACAATTGGAATCATAGAATTACGTAAGTCTCCAAGTGCCCTCACCACAACATTAAAGCATTAATGTTCATTGCAAAAGAATCTCAGAATAACGGTAAGATTGATTCAAACGTGTACTGTGCTATTGCTTCTGAAAAATAAAAAGAGAGAAAGGAAGGTACTCTATCAGGAACTCATGGGTTACATCCTTCAGGGTGATTTTCTTCAACTGATTCTGAACTAAGACTGCAGCATTGTCTTGGCAATCCTTCTGCCCACAATTACAACTATTAAGATACAAAATTAGTCTGCGATCAGAAACAGCATTCTTGAAGTTGACTCCAGAAAGCAGTATCTCCTGAATTTGAATAAAGGGCAAGATAGGTAAGTATATAGAAGCAAATTTGGCAAAATTTTGAAGAAACGGATCATATATTTAAAAAACATTGGCAACCTTCATCATCTCCCATGAGTTGTTGCTGCTAGGGGAAGAATCTAGTACAGCCTTATAAGCAGGATTGGACATGGCAGTTGCAGCTAAGACTCCAACAGGATCACCAGCACAAAATTCACTTGCAACATTCGAACTGTTGATACCATATTCAAATTGGATAATTGAATTGCTGCACATATTTCGTACAGTCCCATCCTGACACATTACAACATCTCTAAGAATGGCCATCAGATTTTTGAACAACGTCCCAGGTTCTGTCAGTCCTCGGCTTGACCGAACAATTACTTCTCTGCTTGAGATAGAGTGCACCATCTCTTGATATGGATCTAATCCACGAAAAAGAGGTCTATCAATCAAGCCAAAGCCTTCAATTGGATAATTATCACATGGATATTTCTTAACGAACATCGAGGACATGTCCTTCACCAGTGCTTCAGTGTAGAACTTTCCTTTATCTGATATCTGCAGCCCCAAGTAACCAATTTGCTGGATCACCTTGTTCAGGGCAGATTCACTTTTTGAATCAATTAGATAGCCAATTGCTGAAGACTTCTGTATGAAATTAGTACAAATTTTCTGCCTAATTTCAAGAGTACTGTCCACATCCCAAGGTATGAAAAAGTCTCTTAAGCTGACACTAAATCCTTGTGAATAAAGACTTTCCATCAATAGAGGCTGTATGGAATTAAAAAATCTTAATACCTCTTTTGGTCCCTTCAAAAAGAACAGAGAGGTCACTAAGTCATTGACAATTGATGCCATCGAATCCCTGCTATAGTCCACCCTTAATACCTCACTTCTTGAAATAGAATGCCTCTCTCCAGAAGAATCAAAGCATGGGGGTAGGCATATCTCCAAAATCTGTGATGCAGTCCAAAGGGGACCAACGTCTGACTTCAGTACTGCAGGTTTAGACAGCACATTGGGCACAAACATGGCCAACTGTTCTGCTGCTGCTCTTCTCAAAAGACACTTACTGAAAAGAAGTTTAAGTGACAAAAGAGAGTCAGTTCCCAGCTGTAAGTTGAAATTTCCAGTGTGAGAGCTAAGCAGCTGTTTCTCCACCGCGAAAAGCTCCATTGCCTCAGCTTTAGCTTCAAGTGACTGTGGATAGAACAAATGAATACAATCTCCATCGAAATCTGCACTAAGTGGACCACAAATGAGGGGATTGATTTTGACCGTATGATCATCATGAACATACACGGACAAGGCTTGCAGGGAATGCTTGTGTGTAGTTGGCGGTCTATTTATGAATACAATGTCACCATCCATTATTCTCCGATGCACTACCTGACCAGGCTTCAAAAATGTATGCCCTTTAGAACCTTCTCTCAATGAATAGGTTGACATCCCATCCTTATAAGTCAAACAAAGTTTTTCATCCACCAACTTCTGTAAAAACTCACGGTTGTGATCATTTACTCGCTCTTCATATGTGATTTTCTGGGCTATTTCAAATGGAAGTCCGATTGCCGACACTTCCTTAAATGGATCACCTGTGATCACACTCCGGGAAGAAAAGCCAGACCCCTTCCTGATGAATAGTGTCTTCATTTTCTCAAGCCAGGCTTTCGTAGATGATGCATTTACTTCTTTATTCACGCCGAAACGATTATCCACATCGCGGGTAGCCTAATAAAGAAAAACCAAAGTAGAGGAGCATAATAGACAGCCAAAATTTCAGAGTCAGATAAAATTTATACAGTTCAAGATGTGAAAAATTAATCATAGAAAAAAAATGAACACTAGACATAACATCTGCTAGCTATAACCACAAGGGTAATAGACAAAACAGAATTTAAGATGCAGAAAATGAAAGGAAGCACGCCATACAGACGCACACTATCAATCACCCACCAGTGATTGATAAGAACAATAATTACAAAAGATGAAAACATAGGAAGTTGCAACAGTTGTGCACACCCAAGATAATAATGAATTCCAGAATCTTCCCCCAGAAATGAGTGGAGCGCACAGAAACAATAAATACCTTGCCAGTACCCCTAAATTGAAGATACTGTACGGCAGCTGCTTGTAAATCATTGGCTTCAATTTCTTGTGATGCAAAATTTGGCTTCCCAGATCTTGAATTTTTTATAATCTCTACCTGTCTCAACACCTTTTTAAGCAGTGATATAGAATGGTCCTGGAATCAACAGGAGTGCATCAGCATGCTGATAAAGACAAAATCATAGATATAGAGTTGGACTTTATAACATGTCTTACTGTAGACATTGTACTGATTCCATCAGAAATATCAGGCACTGACAAACAGTTTGGAGGAACAGGTAAGTATTTGATGAGATATCCATCCTGAGGGAAGTAACCTTTTGCAGATAGCTTTTTCTTGGTGTCTTGAGGAAGTTTTCTTAACATTTCCATCACCTTGTGAATGCAAGGAAGGAAAACAGAAATTAATTTAAGAGTAAAAAAGCACACTGCAATACAAGAATTTGTATACCAAGCAAACAACAAACAGCATAGCACAAATAACTTCTATCGAAGGAAAAAATTAACAGCTCCAATTATATGCATTACTTTCTGTGTCCTATTTCTGGCAGAAATATACTGAGCGAAACCCAGGAAAGGTACATTTTTAGGTGCATTCTAACCAGACACACAATGAAGAATCAAAAAAGAGGCAAGCAATCATCAGTTTGACATGGTTCCCAAATATTTGAACACTAAAAATAAACTAAGAACTAACATAGAGAATGCAACAAGTCTTGCAGAGGAGTAAAAGCAACATAACAGGATGTGCAAATCAAACCCAGATGGTATAAAGGTCAAACTTATGACACTTCAAATGTATTAAGTTGTTCAACATTACAATATACTTCAAACAAGTTACATCCTTTTCTAAACTAAGTTTACATTAAGGGTGTGTTTGTTTGGGGGTTTGGATTTTGAGTTGGGATTTGAATAGTAAAAATTTTGAATTTGAATAGTTGTATGATGTGATATAAATAGGGTTTGATGTGATGTTTTGAATGTAAAATTGATTTTTAGTATAATATAAAAAATGAAAAATAGGTGTTTGATTTGATGTTTTTGGGGGAAAAAATTGGATGAATAGTGGAAATCCACCAAAATCCTTCAAACAAACACACCCTAAATACAAAATCATAGAAATACACCTCGGGGTTAAAAAATAGAATGATCTACTTGATATCTGCATGCAGCATGTCTGCAAGGAACCATATTTTAGCTGATCCTGTCTCTAGGCAGCCATCTTTTTATATAGGTTGGTTGACAGACTACATACTACACCAAACTCAAGACACTAGAGGTGTGTTTGGTTAGCATCTCATGGTGGGTTGGTACTATGCTCCTAATTATTTTTCTAAAATATTATATCACATGGGACCCATTCAAAATCTATTCAATTTTTTTTTTCTATGTCTCTCTTCAATAAATAAATTCCTTAATTATTTGTAAAATTATTTTATTTTAATTATAAATAAATATTTATATATATTTTTTATTTGTATTATAGAAAGTTTTATTCTCTACAAAATGATATTCATATCGTATATATTTATTAAAAATTAAGTCATTAAAATAATTAAATACACATTTTAAATTTTTTTAATCTTATATATATTACATCATAAATCAAATATTAATTAAATAAATTACTTCCAACCCAACTTCCAACTCAAAATATCAACCGCTAACCAAAGACACCTTTAAATATAAGCTTAAACACAATGATGTATGGAATGGTTCGGTATAAAATCAAGTCATATAAATAGGTTATTGATACCCTAAAAAAAAAAGAGGGGGAGGGGGGGTGGGAGGGGGGGTTCATAAGAGACTATAGAGTTCCTTTTTCATACAGATTTTAAGAATGGCAGATTGAATCAATGTTCAAAATGAAGTGTGCTCAATAGTACCTCCGAAGGAAGCAATGGTCTAGAACGTGAATGACCTCCATACCGAAACCCATATTTTTCCAAAAAGTTCCAGCGATCATCTTCAGGTTTTGATCTTCCTGGCACTTTTAATTCCAAATAACAGGCCCCATCAGTGGTCTTCACTTCATTGATGGATATTAGTGTAGTCTCCTGCATGTTTGACAAAACAATTATAGTATAGCAGCAATTGTCTCAAAGAGTTCAACATTCATCTCCAAATGATACATACTGCAATCCAAACCAATTTAACAGGTAAATTAGTTTGATTGCCCCATACATTATGGTTTCAACTTCAACAGAACCATGTCCAGGTCATTGAGATTAGAGAATCTTCCAAATTAGAAAAAAATTCTTTTGCAACTGACGTAAAATTAGGGGATATAGTGGATTGTGCCTTCATACGAAATCTTCGCATGCAGATATAAAAGTAAAAATATAGATCAAAGTGGAACAAGAAGCAGACTACACAATAGTGCATAACATGGAAAGATTTTAACTAGGGAACATGAAACAGAAAAGTTGAATTCCTAAACTTTTACATATCTAAGCAGATAATTTCAATTAAAAATGACAATTATATTCAATATGGTTAAACTGTTAAAAGACAAGAAAGTAGTACAAGGTTGTTGGACCAGTTGAGCAGTTTTTAGTTGCGGTAATATTTTTCATTGGACAAGATTTCACACGTTGCAGCTACCAATGCATCTTCATAGATAAACACAATCGTCAAACATTACGTATGCTTGCTTTGCAGGATAGGATTGTTCCATTATTTACCCCAACATATAAAATGTTGCCATTACATAACACAGCTTGTGTTAAGCTTCAGGTTTATAAGCAAAAATTAAAAATCTGAGACAAATGAATATATGGAATTAAAATAACCTTATATGGCCCTGTGAAGTATCAAGCTCTTTACTTTTTCCAGTGAGAATATATGGGAAGAAAGATTTGTTCACTACATTCAGCCATCGGATTGCTTACATTGCTAGTGGAATGTTTAAAGAACCAAAAAATACAATTTACACACGAGGAAAAAGAAACAAAATGAAATGTAAATAATAAGCCATCACATGTTTCTCGAAACAGATGTTTTAATCATGCATCAACAACAGATGAATCAAATGGGTAAATATAAATACCTCACAGCATGCAGATAGCACCCGTTCAATGATTCCACCACTCTTTGCTGGAAGCTGGAGTAACCAACAGAGGAATGCAATTAAAGAAATAATTATTTCCAGTAGTATATCAGTGGCACTTGTACACGAAGGAGAACCAACACTAAAATTCCAGAAATCCAACAACAATTAATCTATGCAGGGCCACTTTTATACTATAGAAAGGATGGGGATAGTATAGCTCGAGCAGGATTATACATAATTTCCCTATGCTGCATTTAGTTTCAGTTAATCCATCAAGACAGGAGAAATTTTAGCTTACTCTTGGTGCTTCAAAATAAGATAACCTTAATAATAGGATATCTATATCTTGATAGGCAGCAAATAGAATGAACTTCAATATGATTTTTATTCTTTTGACTAAACGATCACCAAATAAGAAACCGTAGGCATGAACATTGGTGCAGGGAGACAATGGAACTTTGCTTGGGAAACAGCATTACCAAGAAATATAATAAAACTTTTCAAGAAACAACTTATTCTAAATATCCAAATACACTTATCTCATGGGATATTACCCTTCTGTTTTTAAGCTTTAAACACTTCAAGCACAACAGATTAAGCATTCTTTTAAGCTCCGCAACATGGTCAGGGTGGTAAATTGGAGTGGGTAATTCAATGTATCCAAAGTGACCTGAAATGTTAGCAAGTAAGGTGATACTGAAAGAAATTATACAAGTTAAACCAAGGAAGATATTATCATACATCATTCATGCTTTTGTTTTTACTATACTGTAAAACACTGGAATTGAAAAATAGATGTGCATACCTTCACATTGCCCAGGCTCACCAGCACCACAGGACTCGCATTTGCCGACATCAAGGGGCAACCCAAGAAATGGATTGCAAAGTTGACTAGCATGACTGATAGGACAGTCACTGATTGATGCTTTACACTGATCAAAAGTATGGAGTCAATCAACATTCTTCAACTAAAAGAAAAAAGGTACTACCCCGGATATTCTACAATTTTCTTTCATCTATTTACCGTTTTCCTTATTCTTTTGGCTAGAAGGATTGATGGAAGAGTAAGGGGAAGAGAAAGTCCCTATTTCTATTTTCTAACATAATATTTATTAATAAAAATGATCTAAACCTCACCACAATCATATACAAGACAAAAACTTACTGTGATCAAAATTCTTTCTGCAGTGTAGAGTGGGAATCAAGTTGTTCAAAATTTTAAAATTCAAATAAGAATTAAGATTGTTTCTGAGGAGCCTTAATTTTTCAAAATAAAAAATAAAATAAACTAAAATGATCCCATATAAACATTGAGAGCTGAAAGTTGAGATTCTATACTTACAATTTCTTGATGAGTTGCCAAGCTAAATCTTATTCTTTCTATCTTTGCCTCAAAAGCTGGGGTAAATAAGGAACCCTCCATTTGTCACCCCTTGGACTAATAAGATCAAATGTGGTCTACAATCTGCTACAAGCTCAACAAGGACTGGTCTGGAAGGGGATGGCTTGCCGCTCTAGTAATCGGCTATAAACAAGTATCCAAGAGGTGAAAACAGTTAATTACCAAAGAAGTATCAGAGCTTAGGCAAATGCAGATTGTGCACTACAAAAATTGCATACAATTACTCTAAGCTACGTATCTCGGTTGTAGGATGGTTTAACTGCATCCCCACTCATTAAATGATGAATCCACCATAGGAGAAACATCTAACCACACAATTTCACACAACTGAAATCAAGATAGTAACATTTAGTGCATAGCGCACCATGAAGCAAAGGCCCTAAAGAGATGCTGTGTAAGAAGCACACAATGGTGAGGCATGACAAGTTGATAACAATTGAGGAGGGAGGGAATTCATTCTATTGTTAACATTTTCATAAAAATATAACATGAGCAAAGTCCATATTATAATAAAAGATATAAAGGCATTAACCTATGGATTTTGTTTTGCTAGAAAGTACATTACAAATTAGACTTGGTATGAATTCTTTTTTTTTTTTAATAAAAAACAGACAAATAAATAAATAACAGGTGTCACTCGGCCAAAAAGCACAAAAAAAATAAAAAGTGTTATGCATTTTGATCTCAGAATTCAACCAAACCGTAAAAACCCAGAAACAGGGCACATTTCACTATTTAGCAAAATTTCAAATATGTTTAAAACTCTAGGCAATTTGATGGTATATAAAATTTAACATATACTAAAGAAAGAAAAAAAAAGAAACGGATGGGTAAGAAATAAGAAAATCTCCAGGAAGGCATAAAAAAGGAAAAGCACGCATAGTTGTAAATGGTACATGACACAGCACTGCACAATTATAAATAGATTTCTAATATACATAATACACAAATGCATAGACAATCAATTTAACACTTTCAAAGAAACTTCCACTCTCCGAACCCTACGAACATAACTAAATACAAATAATATCGATCAAGACGACTATTTGGAAGCATGGCGCTAGAGGACATGTTGATTTATCTGTTTGGTTTTAGCTTCTTCCCTTCCTTTCTTACTATTATGTTGTATTGTTTCTATGCCTTCTTTATTATCAATAAAATCACTTTACTCTCCAAAAGAAATTTACAGGTCAAGATTGAACTTTGATGTATAGATTCTAAATACATGAAGAAAAAAAGAACTAAAACATCTATAAAAGCTTACACAAACCCTAACCTGAAAATACACCCCCCCCTCCGGAAAAAAAAAAAAAAAAAGAAAAGAAAAACTGAAACAGCACTGCAGGCTGCCTTACCTGGCAGAAGACCGGTGGTGCAGTGCAGTTCGAAAAGAAGTGAGAAGCAAAAAGGAGATATGAAAAACGGGAGGGCTGATGACAGCGGCAATGAGTTGAAGAAACTTGTGAAGAATGGTAAATAAAAGCTTTCCATATCCTTTTTAATTGAGTAAAAAGAAAAGCCCAAAATGAAAATGAACCCAAAAGATAAAATAAATAAATAACTAGAGGTTGTCCTATTAGATGAAAGGGGAAAGACAATAGGAGTATGAATATAACCTCACCAAAATAAAGAAGGAAAATACAATAAAATGATTTTTAGTTTTTTTTAAAAAAAAAGAAAGACCTGAAAATTGTCAAAGGAAAGAGAAAGAGCTATAGAAAGAAAGAATTTTAACCATATGCTTCCCTTTAAAATTAAAAATTTGTTTCCTTTTATGATCAAGAATTGCAAAGGAATGTCATAGGTACTCCAAGCAAATCAATAGCAGAAATGGGAAATGAAAATAAATTGCATGTATCACCAAAGATTTGAATCGAAAAAAAACATGAACAATCAAGCAGAAGTTGTGAAAGACCCAAAAACAAAAAAGGCTTCATTGAGTACCCAAGTTTACTAGGTACCAAAAACCTCACCCAAATAAAGAAGGAAAATTACAATAAAATGATTTTTAGTTTTAGTGTTTTAAAAAAAAAAAAAAAAAGAAAGACCTGAAAATTGTCAAAGGAAATAAAAAGAGCTATAGAAAGAAAGAATTTTAACAATATGCTTCCCTTTAAAATTAAAAATTTGTTTCCTTTAATGATCAAGAATGGCAAAGGAATGTCATAGGTACTCCAAGCACATCAATAGCAGAAATGGGAAATGAAAATAAACTGCATGTATCACCGAAGATTTGAATCGAACAAAAACATGAACAGTCAAGCAGAAGTTGTGAAAGACCCAAAAAAAAAAAAGCTTCATTGAGTACCCAAGTTTACTAGGTACCAAAAATAGTACTCCCTCCGTCCCAAACACCGTGCAACATTTCTAAATTAGGAAATAATTAATTATATTTAATCTATATCCCCACACTTTATCCCATCACATCCCTCTAATAAAAAAATAAAATATACACTTCTCTCTTCATCACATCACCTAATTACTCAATTATCCTACTTAACACTTCTCACCTAAAATCCCATGCCCAACTTAAATGTAAGCACCTTGTTTGGGACGGAGGGAGTAATAATAATAATGATAATAATAATAATAATAATAAAACTAAATCAGTTTGGATTTATTAACATTCACCTATTGTGGGAATGATATGACAGCATTTAAGAATAACTTCCAGAGAAGAAAACTAAAGCTCGTACAACGGGAATAGACACTGAACAATCAAACAAGGCGAAGGGCAAACAAAGCAGAAAATGAATGCTTATAGAGATGCAACACAAAAAAATAAAACAATAAATAAAAAGAAGAAGAAGAAGAGAAACTAATAATTAGAAGCAAACTCTGCACTGCTATAAAAGTTTCAAAATTAATTTAAGAGAGCTTTAGACATCAAATGCTGCAAACATACAAATATGATTACTAAGCCTACTTAATATTATCTGCAGGGAATTGATACAAAAAAATTTAAAAGAACTCTAAGGCCATCCACAATGGGGTTTCTGCCCATGTCAGTATTATTTGAAAATCAAAATGATTTCTCTGAAAGGGAACCCATCTTGCCCCCTAAACCTTTATTAAATACATTTGTAGTAATTAAATCTATTTTTATTTATTTTGTATTTTATAAAAAATTCATTTTCTACAAAACAATATATATTAATATACTTATATTAAATTTATTTTAAATCAATAATTTTTATGGAAATATAAAATATATATACTTGCTGCAGTGGCAAAGAGAAGGTTGTGTGGAATGTTGGAGAAATTGCAGTAGGGTTTCTTTGTTGCAAATGCTATAAACCCCCACTTGAGAAAGCATACCTGTCATGATCGTAGCATATCCCTTTTCATCTGATCCCATCATGTGAGGTGGAGAAAGAACGCCACAGAATACTTAGGAAGAAAACTTTAAATTAAGTATCATCCTGTCATAACCATGGAAATAGGTCTCATGTCAAAGATTACAAATCAAAATATTTCTCTCAAGGCATAATAGGTGGCTCAACCCAAGTAATTGTTAACTGAGTTAACCAATAACAAATTCAGAAGTACCCAACCGAATATCAAATCAAAAGGCTCATTCACATTCACAACAAAGATAAGCACACAGGATTGATTAAATTTTGGGAATCAATTGTCTGTTTTAGAGCTATTGCCCTTGAGACATCAAATAATGGAACAACAATCAAGAATCATCATTCCATGCTGAAGACACTTTCTCAGAAAGATTATGGATGTTCATTTAACATATTTCCCTGAATTTATACTATTCATCATAAAAAAATTTCAAAACATCACATCATCACCTATTTATATTACATCATACAACTATTTCAATTCAAACTTTTACTATTCAAATCCCAACTTAAAATCCAAACGCTCAAACAAACACACCCTATGTAAATCTTCTGCTAAGATCTGTAAATGAGACTTTCATCTCATGCAACTCAATCAAAAACAAGAATTTTATGTTTCCCAAATCTTAAAATAATAATAATAATAATAATAATAACAAGTCAAAAAGCACCAAATTTACATAATAACCAATATCATCAAATTTCCACCTGTTTTTAGCACAATAACAAACTAAAAAGAAATGAAAGCACATGAAACTGAGATAGAAGACACCCATGATACTACGATGCACATTTATCAAATTTTATTAGTTTGACATCTGAGAACCTAGGTGAAATGAAATGGCCAACTTTACTAGGATTCCCTGCATTACTTTTCAACATATCTCTCCAAGTGCAAATCAAACAGCCAACTATTTTGCAAAACAGGGTACTCTGGGAAACAAAGAAAAACTAGTTAGGTCATAATCCCTGCGGAGTAAACAGGATTCCAGTTCTTTCTGCTGTTAGATTGACCCTCATGTTGTATTGTATTGTATTCTCTCCCTTAGGGCCTATCACTATTAAAAAAATTTGCATATCTAATGAATCAAGAAACCTGTTTTTCCAATCTTAACAAAGCAAAGATAACTAAGAGACTGGGATAGAAAAATGAACAGCTTGCAGCAGATGGTGAAAATCCTTATGACTAAATTTTTCCTGGACTAATGAATACATGGATTCAATTTCTACAAGAAGTTCTATGCATGCAAGGCCAAATTAAGAAAACTCACTAGCATCCATCAACATTTCACAAAATTCATCATACAGTGAGTAAAAAAAATCATCTCCATTAATATATGACAAGCACCGCCAAGTATTAAAAAGCTTATCCTCAATAAATACAGCTCGAAGTGGACAAAAAAATTGCTAAATAAATTAAAGAAAAAACTAAATACATTAACTCCCATGAGCTCACACTTAACAATTACTGACAACCCTGTTGAGAGACGAACATACAAATACATTGCACACATGAACTGATAATTAGCAATGTTTGACAACTAGAACAAATAAATGCCTAACATTAACAGTCGTATGTCCATAGTTAACACTTAACAACAACTCAAACAGACAAATGCATGACATTAACAGGCACGAGCTCACAACTGCAATGCCTAAAGACTACTCAATCATTAATGACAGAAAATGGATTAGAGCTATTTAATTAGTTCCTCTATTGGCGTTTGATATCTTTATGCTCTCTCTCCCATCTTCTCCATTGTATGCTATATTTATTTTTATAATAATTAGTGACCTCTCATTCATAAATTACAGAAATTGGAACATAAAACACATAGCATGAACACTGTGAGCTCGTGCCTACTGAACCCTATTTTAATCGACCTCCTTGTATCCATGAATAACAGAAACAGAACATATTTGCATAAAACCCTTGAGCTACTTAAAATCACCCATTAATCCTGTGCTCAATAATGGCAAAACATGAAACAAGCAAAAACACAAAACACAAACTTATCCTTAAGAATGCCTAACACCACCTCATTCACTAATTATGGAAAAACAGAACATACAAGGGAAATAGAAAGATAAGAAAATCTGCAGTGGAACTTCCACGAACTGATGCAGAAATGGAATCCCAAAAATAAAATAAAATAAATCAAGACAGTCAAACAAGAATTAATGGAGAACAGACAGAACTGCACGTGTAACACAGCAAATAGATCAAATTCACAAACTCAAAAGAGCAATTCACCGACACACACAGCCACAATTTGCATGTCTATTTTTACCGCAGTCAAACTGAAGTTTTCTACCGCTTCCCCCTCTTACTAAGCAAGAGCAAGAGATGACTACAAACCAGAAATTCATGGCATTCTTCAGCAAGCACAAGCAACTCAGAACAATGCCCCCAAATAAAATATATATACAAAAATATAAAGAAAAAACTCAAAAAGCCCTTCCTCTTCTCGGCTCCCAAGAAACCAAACACGTAATATAACAAATACCAGGTAAAACTAAAGCAGAGACAAAATTCCAGAAATCCAAAAACCCTCGTTCCAAAGTTTGACTAAGAAATCAAAATAAAAACTACCAAAAAAAATAAAACACAAGAATCATACCTAATGCTTTCAACTACAATTAGTATAGAGACCTCAAGCACCCAGAAATCCGAAATGGGGGTACGGATTCGGAACGACGGCGTTTCCAAGAAAGGCAAAACGTATAGAACCTAATGCCTCTTTTCCTAAAATTAGTCCGCCAATTTTTTTCAAAGTTTTTTCTTTCCCATCTCTCCTGTGTAGAGAGAGAAAACGACGGCGAGTGAGAGAGAGTGGGGTTTCGAGACTGTTGACTGGTGCACTTGGTGCCTTCTGCATGCAGTAGTAGAAAGTGATTTGAGGTGCCTCCACTCTACCACAAGCCCCGCACTTCTTCCCACACGCACTCTGATTCGAAAGAACTTTCTCTCCCCAAATGTACAACTGCGGTGCGGTGGAAAGAGCAGGTCCTGCAGTACGGGGCATATTCGTCAATTCACTGGAACGGTACGTTCTGGATTTACTTTTCTGTCCTTTGGAGATGCGATGTGGCGCCCCAAATGTGAAGGGCAGATTTGAGAAAGTTTCCATGTCCAAGTGGTAGAGTACTGCAGCTGCTGATGTGATGTCATTTTGAGTAGCCTTGGTCTATATGTTCCATTTATACTATTTTTTACTCCAAATATATTACAGTATTTTTATTTAAATTATAATTTTATTTTTCACTAATATTCTTTAGATATTTTATTTTTTATTATTTTAAATAATTTTTTATATTTACAATTTAAAATATTTTCTTAAAAAAAATTAGAAAAATTAAATTAAATTAAAAAAAAAAAGCAACTTTATATTTTTGGCATTGCTACATTGCAACACCAAAATTGGCGTTGCACCGTAGCAACGCCAAAATATGGTGCAAACCGACGCTAAATTCATAGCGTTGGGTTGGAAATGCTTTAAATATTCGCAATATTTACAGAATAAAAATATAGGAGTAGGTTAGAGTTTTGATTGAATTTAAATTTTTTAATTCAATAATTTTTGTATACTCGCTTTTTTTATTATTATTATTAAAATTATTTTTATTTTTTTAATAAAATAATATATTTTTTTTGTTTTCCTTTAGGTCTATTTTAATGGGATTTTTTTTAGAATTTTATGGTAAATAAAAAATAATAGTATAAGTATGTATGAAGTTTTGATATTTTCTTCCTTTAACTTTATATAGTATATGTAATTGTATGTTTATAATTTAAGTAAAAATGAAATGTATTTTAATATTAGTATATAATTATTTTTTTAAAATAAAAAAGAGATACTTTAAAATAGAACGGACGAAAATGATAAAAATAATATTTTGAATTGAATTAGCACGAGAGAGAGTATCTTTTAGTATACAAAAATAATAATTATTTATTTTATTAAAATTTATGTTCAAATATTTGAGTACATGATTGGATGACTCGTAATATTTAACTATTGGAGTGTTTGTTTTGTGTTTTGATTTGATTTGAAAGAAAAAAATTTATATGAGGTATAGGAACTTATGTATGTTATATATAAATAATAAGCTTACGAAATCTATTAATTTGTTTTGAAAAAATATGTTGAAAAATATTGACAAAAGAAACAAAGGTAAATGATATAACACCCCTTGTATTTTTAGTAAAAATGCACAAAATACTATGTATTTTATTTTTTGTGTGAAACCTCTTTATGTTAACGTAAAATTTGCACGAAACACCCTCCTTGTCCAAAACTGATATTTGGCTCTAAATAAAAATCTAAATTACGCAAATTTTATATAAATAAAAATATAAATATCTTAAATAATTTTTTAATAAAATAAATAAATAAATAATTGATTAATCATTCGTTTTATTGTTTTTTTTTAGATAAATTGTTATCTTATTTTTAAAAAAAATATATAAAAATAAATAATTGATCAATTATTTATTATTTAATTTATTAAAAAAATATTTAAAATATTTTATCTTTTTTATTTGTATAAAATTTGCGCAATTATATCTTTATTTATAACCAAACATCAATTTTAAACAATGTAAAAAATTCTACAAACTTTATATTAACACAAGAAATATTACACAATATAATTAACCCAAGAAACAAACTCTATAGCCGTAATCGAAATTTATGCTCATTTTACGAGACATGAGCTAAAAAATGGATAAAAAATCATTTTGCAGTTAAAATAATACTATTATTTTTTACTTAAAAAATTAAATTAAAATATTATATTATGACAATAAAAAAAATATGCATAAATTTGGATGTAGGAGAAAGTAGTGTTGTAACACCCCACAGTTGGCTCATACTAGAAATGTCATCGCCACACTGCATCATGAGGTCGTCATCTCCTACTTCGGGCCCCACAATACAGTGTCAAGGCTAAAATTAACTATAAAAGCGCATTATTATATAACATAATCTGATTTATAAATATTTACAAAACACACTCCTTAACGAGAGGTTTTTCAGGTTAAAAATTTACATATAATACAATAGACGTAAGTTCACTCACTCAGCCCGTCTTTCTATATCCCAATACGTCCCCTGTCTCAGATGTGCCAGGCATACCTCAAACAAATTTTTCTTAAAAGTAGTCTAAAATTAAATCTATTTTAAAAACTAACGTGAAATATGTCATTTCATACCTTTTTAAAATAAAGTCTAATTTCCGTTAATCATAAAATACGTGTCATGTCACGCCAATAGTGAAATGATGCAGCACAGATATCAAACTCGACAACAATGCACATATATATATACATCCGCCGAAGTGAGCAACCGGAATAACCTCGGCTCTATAATCATAAGCTTACTACATCTGTCTAAGTGAGCAGTCGGAATACCATCGGCCCCGTAATAACAAGCTCACTAGACCATTATCAATAAATAGCCAGAAAATCATCGGCTCAGGGAAGGACCTGATAAACCCATAATAATATAACGGTCATCCGGTCACTTCCATATACTCACCATACGACTCCCACAATCAATACATGGATAGCCGAACGTTGTCACCATTAACCACAAGATGCCCCATAGTCTGTGATAGCAAAGATAGGACTCCCATTGACTAGCCCTATCCCGTGTACTGTAGTAGAATCCGTGCAACCTGAAATCACCCAAAGGAAACTCGAAAACTCTACTCCTCCTCGCGCGCCCTAACAGGATCACGTTTGGAGTTTGGCATATGATCCTAAACTATCGGTAGACCTCACTAGTAGCTACTCCAATGAGTGGAACAACACCGAACACGAATGATTAGACCGAATACGTCTCAACTACAATGGGTCTAATCCCTGAATGACCGTACGACTAAGTCACCCAGTTGTCCGACTACTATCGTCCACTATCGTCAAAGTGTTACGGCACATCGGGGTCGAATATCCTAACCCCAGATGATGCCCTCGCCTAGTACTACCGCACACGGCAACTAAACGATATATCCATAAAACATATCCGATAAACCGTGCAATATGTGTGCATCATGTCAAATAAGTGAATTTACCGAAAATGGCCGGTGAGACAATGAACCTATCCTTCTTTTCATAAATTCACCAACGCGATCAAATACGTATATCAAATATCATAAATCGTGAAGTCTCTCACATGCATACGCACACATATATATAAATATATACATGCCCTAACAAAATGATTCACCTAATATCACATTAGCATATTAATCAGAATCGCATGCAACATACATACCTAATTTCTTAAAATTAGATTTAATTCCTTACTGCTTATCTCTTATCGACACCCTCTAGCTTTTGCAATCTCACCCAAATCTTTTCCAACGTACACATGTCCCATTATTTACTCAAATCAGATGAGCTATATGCTTATTCATAGGAGCTACCTGCTTATTCAAAAATTAATTTCTATAATTAGCTCGTTGAATTTCAAACTTTTATATTTAGTAGAATATAATATTCTAGCTATAAAACTCTTATACCTCATAATATTTACATCGCCCGATTATTAAATAAAAATACTTAAAGATATGAATAAACAGGTAGGTGTAGTACACTGCCGTTTTCAATTCGACTCGAATCAATACGAAATTCTCAAAATATAATGCTAGGATTACGAATAGGCTATTAGCTAAAGAAATTTGCCGATTAAATAACCAAATAGCTAATTTAAATTTTTTTGAAGAATTTCTAATTTAATATCTTCAATATCTAAATTTATATTAAAATCCATAAGTATAACAAGAAATATAATACCAAAATCTGAATCAAAATCAAACCGCTAAATTTTTTCTTTCTTTTTTTCTTTTTTTCCTTCCTTCTTTTCTTCTTTCCTGCATTTCTTTTGCTTCATATTATATTATTATTATTATTATTAGTAACGTTATTATTATCCTTATCTTTATATTTTTATTATATATATTATATATTATATTTTATATTTATCCTTATTGATATTTATTTGTTTAACATCTTTTCAATTATAATCAATATATAAAATAAGAATAAAATTTATTACGAAATATTAATTTCTTGATCCCAAAATATTATAAAAATATTTATTTGCTATAATAATATTATTTTATACACTCCAAAATCAGAGCATTATAAGTGTAATTTAATAGGTAATTAAGTAATTATAATGCTTCAATCGTCCCAAATATGATGTCCCATTTATCGTAAACACAAAAATTTAGAAGGAATATAATTAGTAAATAATTAAGAATGTGTTAGTGAAAATAATTATAATTTAATAAAATAATTTTAAATTAAGATTAAGATAACTTATTAGTATAATTAAAATTAAAAAATTTAAAATAAGATTAAAGTTTATAATACTTCATCTGTCCCACTTATTTTGTTTATCTTTTTATTTATCGTTTGTCTCATTTATTCTGTCACTTTTCTTTTTCAAAAAGTATTGTACACTTTAATCTCATTTTAAATTTTTTATTTTATAATTTTTTTAATTTTAATTATACTAATTAGTTATCTTAATATTAATCTAAAATTATTTTTATTATACGAAAATTATTATTTTTACTAATATATTCTTAATTATTTACTAATTATACCCCTTATAAATTCTCGTGTTTACAGTAAATGGGTACGATAGCCGGACAGAGGGAGCATTAACTTATATAAGTGGTGTTATTATTTTAAAAATAAAAGTTAATATATCATTAAAAAAAATTAAAATAAGTATCTAAAATATTGTGAACACTATATCTCAATAAAATATATAGAATATGGATATATAAAAAATAAAATGTTATAGAATATAAACAAATAAATATATTTATTTATCTATATATAATGAATATAAACTAATTTTTTAAAAATGAAGAATTTTAAATACAAATAAAAATATTTGTTTATTAAAGAGACGTAGAAATAAACGAGTTTTGAATGAATTTCATGTGTAAAGATTTGAAATTTAATTTAATTTAA